ATGAAGACTATGTGACTATACACCACTAATGGGATGCAAAGAAAAAATACAGAATAATAGTGGCAATACTAGAAACTAATAACGTTTCCAAGGAAGAAAATTCCCATAAAAACTGTAAAATCAAAATTTTCAAACTCTTAGCTGAAGCACACATGATTTATCAATGGGATCATAATTTTGCTATAAGTATTATTATAAAAATATTAAATAGCTCATTGAAGATTTTTTTAAAAAAAAATCTCACAATTTTCATCAATTACAATCTGTTACAAAACTTGATTATTCATGGCAAACAGCTGTTGCCTTGGCAGCTATGATGTTTAGAGGAATATATCAGAAGCAGTAAAAAAGATTATGGGTGAAAACACTGTTAATGAAGCCAGTATCATTACTTTTGCAACAAGAACAAAGTAAAAGTCATCAATGAAAGACTACAAAAAAATAATTTTTCGAGCAACAGTTCTAGAATGCTGTGGTTCAATACCTGAAATTTAATTTCAACAAATCAAACCCCTAAAATAGCATGTGCATAGGCTTCCTTTGTCCAGAAATCAAAGAGGTTACTGCTTTAGATAGGACTGCAGTGACCCTTCAATATGCAAAATTTAATTCAAAATTTTGAATTCAAAACGGACCCTTCAGGAGCAGATCCATAATGTTGTTCGAAACATCAGTGGAAGCACAAGTGGCTCCAGGTCAATAAGTGCTCTTTCAACACTGCTGGCTTATTTAGCTATTTTCTGGATGGGATAGGTTGGGCACAGTGATCTATAGACTATGAACTTACTTTGGGCTTGGCTCGGAAACTATATAGTTAACACAAAATAGTGAAGGGGGCAATCTACCATAAACGTTGTACCTCTGCTTGTGGATTTGCTACCAAAGTAAACTCTTAGGACATACAGTTATTGTTCTCAAACTTGAGTGGAAGCAAATGCCAATGCCCTATCAGACCATGCTCTGGACTCTCTTCTCCATTTTATTTGGAGAAACCAAGAACCATGTTCAGCTCCAGCTTTACATTCAGTAACAGCCTTATGGGTTGCACCTAGTGACTCCCATCTCAGAGAAAGGATGTCATCTCTCCCCATAAGGCACAAAGTTACTTGATGCCCTGCCTACTGCACCATGGGCTTCTGCCAGTCATTTAGAGCAGGTTTTTTCAACCTTTTCACCCATTGTACCACTTTTAGGATATGGCAACATCCGAGTACCACCAGTCGCCTAGCAAGGTGTCAAAAACTTGATGACCAAAAAAAAAAAACCCCCAAAAAAAGGAAAAAAGTGATAAAGTGCACGTAGTCCTCGACTTACAACAGTTCGCTTAGTGACTGTTCGAAGTTACAGTGGCACTGAAAAAAGTGCCCCCCAAGGCACAGCTGAGCAAGATACCTGCCTGCCCGCCCGGCCGTGCTCTTCCTCCTGTCCGAGGTTTTCATTGTTGTGAGCATTTCTGTTGAGGATTGGCAGCGGGGGTGGGGTGGAGGAGTGTTTGGTTTTTATTCCCCCCGTCTGCTGAGTGGTTGCAGCAGATTTTGGTCACTTCACATGACCCTGGGACACTGTGACCGTCATAAATATGAATCAGTTGCCAAGCATCTGAATGTAAATCACAAGACCCCGGGGATGCTGCAACATTCCAGCTGATCAGCACTTCTTCTAGGCTCAGCAGAAGTGCCAGGATCAGCACCGAGCTCGAGCTGGAGCCTGACGCTGATCCTGGTGCTTCCACTGAGCCCTGACAGTCCTGAAGAAGCACTGATCAGCTGGAGCCTGGCACTGGTCCTGGCGCTTCCACTGAGCCCTGACAGTCCTGAAGAAGCACTGATCAGCTGGAGCCTGGCACTGGTCCTGGCGCTTCCACTGAGCCCTGACAGCCCTGCAGCTCCAGCCATCTCTCGCTCAGGCTTGTGCGCTGCTGCCATCGGTTCAGCTCATTCCCCTCCCCCGCTACCATTTTTCTAGAATGGTTGAGTACCACCTGCCAAGTGCCAATGTACCACAGGTGGTACCACTGGTTGAAAAGCCCTGATTTAGAGGTTGGGCTGCTTACAAGAAGTGGAATCTCAAGCCTGGTAAAGCAGGACACAATAACCTAGGGAAACAGCTGCGGGAAACAGCCTGGCACTATCCGTGTTAGGTTTCACCCCAAGGCAGAACTTAACTATTCAGGCAAGATTACAAGAACTTATGATAAGTAACATTTATTGAGGAAAATTAGGAAGCCTTCATCAAAAATATAATGGCTACTCTCTTTAAGAAACTTTATACAATATATAAACATCTTGTATATCTTTTTCTTTCCCGTTTCCCAGTTCTTGATTCTGTTTTTTTTAGTTTTGTTTTTACTTTCTTTTGTTTCTGCAACACTGAATTTGTTTTAATTGTGTTTTTCATTGACTGTGTAAGAACTAACTCTTACACTTTGCTTGCAGTATTCCCTAGCTCCAAGAAAGCATTGTGTGGTAATTGCACAGTGGAATCTGCCTTAAATTTGGTGACTTTTACTGTTTCCCTGACATTTTGGATTGCAAATGGTATCTGAAAGAGGTGCCAAACCTTTTTGCAAATATGGGGAGGAGACAATTGTGTCTAAACCATGAAAGGTTGTCATCACCAGGGGAAGTCAGGCTATCTTTAGACAAGGTGTGGAGAGACAAAAGAGGATGATTTAGAAAATGGGTTCCTTTGCTCAAGAGTTGCACACAAAATATTAATGATTCTCTCCATGCATCCTTTTTCCAAGAATTCTGAAAACTACTTTGAGACTTGAACAGCTCCAAGCAACTATAGTTGATGACCCTGACAATTGTTCCAGTTGCACCAATTGGCCAAATGTGAATTCAGACTTAAGTACCATGTTTCCCCGAAAGTAAGGCCTATCCTGAAAATAAGTCCTAGCTTGATTTTTGGGGCTGGGCCTAATATAAGACCTAGCCTCCCAAATAAGCCCTAGTTTTGGGGCAAGGCACACACCTAAAAATCAAGTTGGGCAGGGGTGAGGGTGTGGAGCTGCCCCACCCACCCCACACCCACTCCTTCGGCCCCAGAAGAACTGGATCTGCTGGGTGGGTCTGTCAGTGCCGGAAGTAAGACATCCCCCCAAAATAAGACAAGGTGCTTCTTTTGGGGCAAAAAAAAATAAGACCCAGTCTTATTTTTGGGGAAACATGGTACCTCCCATCTCTGGATTTCACCTCCAAGAAATCAGAACTTATAAAATGCCATGTGATATTCTTGACATGTCCTTAACAGTGTTTGTTCATTTCGGAGGATGAAAAGCAATCAGTTTTTAAAATAAATACTGTTTCTATATATACTCTAAATTTTACCTTGAATGTGCACCCTGTCAGCCCAAATATGGGAGAAAGAAATCTTCTTTCTTTTTCTTTTCTTTTAAATTTTACTCTAAATTCTATATATGACTGCAGGCCACTTTAGCTGACTGTGTTCAGCAGGTCAGCAGTTCAAATCTCACCGGCTCAAGGTTGACTCAGCCTTCCATCCTTCCGAGGTAGGTAAAATGAGGACCCAGATTGTTGGGGGCAATGTAAAATATATACATACATTGCTTACTGGTGTACACCGCTTAGAGAGTGCTTGCACTTAAAGCGGTATATAAGTCTCATAAATAAATAAATAACATCATATTCCGAATAAATGTGTAATGACATTATAATTGTACTCTTCATCTTTATGTTGTGTCAGTTATATAAAAGAAACATTTTCCCCCATTGCCAGCAATGGGGTGGGCGCAGTTTCGGTTTGACACATCTGACCCATGGGCCGGCAGTTTGACAATAGATCATTGGCTTGAAGATAGGAGAAAGATGTTTAAAACCATTTGGCGAAGCTGCATGCTACTCCTGGTTTTAGAAGTCAATGAAAACAAGCTGGACTAACTTGTTCCAATTCCCCAAAGTTAAAATAAGTTGATCTCAAGAAACCTCATGAAATCATGGCCACCTCTATATTTGCTTGCACTTCAAGCATTTGTCCAAACAATTGTTCCAACTACTTCTTAAGGAGCTGGTTTCAATTTGACAAGGTGTGAAGAAATTAGCCAAGAGAGTTGACTTGGTGGCAGATCTATCTACCGTAAATAATTTACAATTCTCAGGTATATCTCAGCTTTAAATGTTGCAGAGCACTACATTTGTAGTTAAACATTTAAAATATAAACTCATTTTAAAAAAAAAAGAGTATTAGATTTCAGGGGCAACTAGGATCCCAATTCATTTAATATAGTGACATTTTGCTTCCATAGCAGGAGCAAACTCATCAGACTGGGAGGAAAAATGGCAATATTATCTTGTCTGTCTTGTCTCCAGCCTTTTACCACATAATTACCATGTTCTTAGAATGATAGTAATAGGATAATTGATAGGATAATTTTATCTTCCATTTTCACCAAATCCCATATTTAGATTTTTTTTAGCTATATTCTGTTTTGCCTTATTTCTCTATCAATTTATGTGGATAGCAAAATTCAAACAATTATTTTGTACTTTTCTGTACCATATGAAATGTATTTTGCAAAGAGTTTTTGTTGTCACAACTTTTTAAAAAAGCATAACTTCTGTAAATATGTTTTTCAGTTGTTCTTATTTAACCAGGAGCTTTGAAATCAGCATGTTTTTGGAGCATTCTTTCATACTATATTTCGGCAGACCAACCTTGTATATAGGTAGCCCTCACTTAATAATTGATCGTTAGCAACCCAAATAGAAGTTATTACGGATCCCAAAAAAGGTACTTACAACTTGGATTCTAAATTCTAATAGCCGCCCCACTCCTATGGCCATGTGATTGCATTTTGGGCACTGAGCAACTTGCTTGTGTTTACAGTGGTTCCCAGTATACTCCACTAGTAAAATGGAAAGTGTCTGTTTTATTCTGTGAAGTTTAAAACACAACTTAAATGTAGAAGCTTGTTATGACAAGCAGTACCCAGGCCCCCAATCTAATTTTAAAATAAAACCAAAGTTCAAATGTCTTACCTTACATTACTCAGGTCGCACTGTTGAAAGAAAAGTCTTCATCCTGGTTCAGTCCAAGCCGGGGATAAACTGAAGTAATTAGAGACCAGTCATTGCAGGGTGCAAGGATGTCTGACTACCTTTGCAGTCTTTATTGCTCTTATACAGTTTTTACAAGCAGCAAAAGTTAACATAGCAACAGCATAGCAACAGCATTTGTATTGGTAGATTCTCCTGCCAATCCTTAGGAATATACCAGCCAAGGGGCACCAGCCGGGGCAGTTTTCTGCAACATCCTTTTGGTGTTAACTAGGTGAGATCATGTGAACTAGGTGAGATCATGTAGGTGAGATCATGTATTTGAGCCGAGGCAGTGTGCTGCACACAAACTCTACATGACCTCTATCTCTACAATAAACAACATGGTGACTGCTTTAGAAAGAAGGCTGCAGTTTATTGAAGAGAAGAGCCAGACAGAAAGATGGTTCTGGCAGAAAAGAGGAAAAAAAGGGTTGAGCACATGTGGGGAGTGGGTTTTTATACCCTCTGGAGCCTTTTGTTTGGAGTTGCTTCCTGTGGCATGAACTTTGACCTGAGTCTGAGTGTGCCCTTTGGTATCTCTGTGTTAATCCTATTATGTCCTGTCTTAGACTTTGGGTGGGGTATTTAGATTTTAGGTGCCTTTGTCTTCTTAATTTTCTAGCTGGGGCTTCCAACCTTCCTGTATGGTTTACATCTGCATTTGTACAAGGCTAGTTTCGGCTTGGAGGAGGGAGACCTGGGACTATTAAGAAAAACTGGGTATGCTTTTCTGCCTCTTTACGATCCTTTGAGGAAATTTATTTTTCTGCCCTTTTAATATTTCCTTCTCGGGGGGGGGGGGCTGACTTCCCACAGCACAATAAACCAGATATACTCAACATGGGATTTCAACTAAATATAATTTATATATCCCACATGCCTTCTATAGAAAAAAAAATTACAAGCCTCCAAAAGGCCATGGGAGTAAAAGCCACTGTCATCTCAGAAGGCAAGCTGTTCCAGAACAAGAGCTAGAAGAATGGAGATGATCTGGAGACTTCTGAGTGATTCAGTGTAATATAAAAAATGGGCAGATGAAAGTAAGGATGAAAGTCTCACCTGGGTGAGTGGAGGAGTCTATGGACACAGAATGTGGCAGCTTTATGTCCATTTAAGAGATTTAGTGCATAGTGATGATCCACAAAAGAGCAGGATGGCTAAATTACATTATCTAAGAATATGGAGTCTGCGGGCAATCCCAAATGACTGAGAACTGGGTTTTGAGCAAGTGGTTCAGCATCTTGGGGCTTATTATCGTACCCTTGCTTTATATTCATGTTATTTAGATTTTAACACTATTAATTCACCTTCTTGTGAAACATGCTTCTGTTATAAGAAAAAATAGAAACTCTAAATGTGTTTTAGAACAGGGGTCCCCAACTCCCAGGTGGTGGACAGGTATCATCTGTGGCCTGTTAGGAACCAGCTGCTTGAGCATGGGATCTAGGTAGCATAGGAAACCACTCCCTCCCCCCAGTCCATTGAAAAACTTTCACAAAATCAGTCCCTGGTGCCAAAAAGGTTGGGGACCATTATTTTAGAGCATAGTTTTTTCCCCCAACATTCAGATTAAATTGTTGTCAGGTAAATTGACACTTTTAGCTTCAACAACAGGCCCTTCTGTAAAATGAATTTTTATAGAAGCAGAAAAGTGGATTCTAACGCTATTTTCTGTAGAATTATCTCAATTATCTCATCTCAGAGCAGAAAGCAGTTTATCTTTGCCTCTATTCTAGAATCAGTCCTTTTTTGTTTGCAAATACACACATACACACAATACAGCTTTTCTCCACCACCTGCATTATTTGCCTAACCTCAAGAAATTAAAACATAGTGTTTTAGGTAGACAGGATTCTTCAGCATACCCTTTCATGTGCCCTAACCTACATCTGTACACTTCTAGATATTGTACATTCATGAACTAGTACCCCTTGGGGGATTTAACTTCTATTGACTCTCGAAAGCCGACGTCGTATCGCTACTCGTATTAACCATTCAAAATGTTAGCAAGCCCCATTCAAAATGTTAGCAAGCCATCCTCGCTTCGCTTCTATTTCTTCATCTTCTAGATCAAGTGAACTTTTTTTTTTCCTGCGAAACCCTCTTTTAATACCTGGCTTTCAGTCGGCTAAGGAAACAAAGGCAACTCACTGGATAGGGGCCCTTAAGGAAGCAGCCAAGCGAAATGCTTTGCTTCAACGGCTGCCAGATTTACATGATTAAAGCCCCTTCCCCCCGTATTCCCCTCAGCCGCAGTGGTACTAGCAATGCGCATGCGCATCCACAGCCGGCTCTGATGGCGTTGGGGGATGGGGAGAGAAACTTGGGAAGGCAAAGCAAGTCAGCGCGCGTTTCCACCTTAACTCGTCCCCTTTTCAAAGGAGCGCGAAAAAGCCTTCCTTCGCCACTTTATTGGCTGAGGCTAATGAAAGAGGTGGGACTTAGGAAAAAAAACAATCCATTTTCCCAAATAACATCTACGTCTACCATCCTGCTTCTGTCTACTGAACTGTAATCTCTGCTATATCCAGTGCTTTTGAGCTATTGTTTTAAACAAATCAGAGTCACTTAGAGAGAAAATGGAAGGATGAGAATAAAAATGTGAGACGTTTTGCTATTGGTCCATTAATAACTACGTAATGCTCTAAAGGGTTTCTCGCACTTCCTCCCCCTCGTGATTGGCTAATAGGTAACAAGTCTTTGAAAGATGTTATGATTCTGTTAGGGAAGAGCTCTCTGATTGGTGGAAAAGGCAAGCAGGTTCAGACCAGAGCGAGCGCGCTCCCTTGCCGCGTCTTGCCGACTAGGAACTAATGAGCGCGCGCTCCTGAGAAAACTCGTCTAGCCTGTTGGGAGGGCGCGCGCGCGCGCTGTATGGTGCTACCTATTGCGGGAGCGCGCCGTGAGAGGAGGGGGAGCTGTAGCATCTCTTTGACACGCGCGGCAGCAGCGACTCCTCCTTTGTTTCCCCCCCCCCCGCCGCTCTAGAGCTCTCGGGCCGCCTGGCTGGCGGGGGCCGGCACGGTAAGGTGGGGAAGAACGTTGATCGCGCACGCGCGTGGATGAATGAATGGATGAATGGATGACCGTGTGAATGCTTCAGAATGAACCGGGAGGCTGCGGGGAGAAACCTCAGCAAAATCAGCACGTCCTAATCGGATGGGGTGGGGGCGCCGTTATTTTCCGTTTGGAGCCGGAGTCTCATTTCTGCGATCGGCTTTAAGGGTAAGAAGGTAAAGGCAGGCGGGGGTGTGCCGAATCCGCCTCTTTAGAGCCCCCCCCCGGCATTTCTTTCATCTCTCGCCCCCCTGGCCTCCTACCAGTATACAATACTTCCTCCCTCTTTCCCCCACCCTAGCCTTTGCATCCTTTTTGGTACTTCTAAGCATCTTTGTTATCGATTGTTCAAGCTCTTTGTGGGAATGGATTCCTTCCTGATGTGCCCTATTTAGATTTCAGTAGTTCATTTATTATTCATTTTATATCCCTGCTCTTTGATATTTCTCAAGTTATTCCCTCCCCCGATCTCCAGCACAAACGGGCTGTAGAGAAAATAGAGTTGGAAAAATGTAGAGTTGGGGTATATAATTTATTAAATTAATATGACAACATGGAAAATGAGACTTATTTTTTGCTGATCACAACATAAACTTTATGTTCAGAAATATTTCAGAATGATAATAAATGCTAGCTTGGATTTCAGAATGTTGGATTAAATATTCAACATGTAAATTCACTTCCCTTTGTTCTTAGTCGTTCCTCTGATAGTGCCCATCTTTTTTTGATAAGCTTCTTTTCACCTTTTCTATCATTAGTCTTTCTTCCATCCTTCCATTCTGCATACCCACAAAGCAAAATCCTCAGAATCTGTGTGTTTGTACTTCTGTTCTGTGGTAACCCTAGCTACTCCAATGGTTCCAGTAATGGTGAGGAAAAAATAGATTGTAGTCTGCTTATGTATCACAATTGTAAAAGGATCATATAGTGCTATCTGGATGCTGAGATAATTGTGAACCATGTTGGACCAGGCAGGCTTTACTATGGGTAGTAAGGGTCATCTATTGCTCTTACAAAAGAATGTTTATTCAAGATTGCTTTGGTACATATTTCATTATTTTTAAGGAATCCTGCTAATTTTTTAAATCACAGTAGTTGACACAGAGAATTCTGGTTTTGTGATGTTTAAAGTTGATTGTATACAAGTAAAGTTAGTCCATGTATCAGCTGTTTCCTTCACACTTTCTTTCTGAAAGACTAATTCAGAGAGTTCTCCAATATGATTTTTCTACCAACTACCTTTAATGTCACTTCATCTCCTGTTGATTTTCGTTCTTATGAAAAGTAATTCACTCTCTCTCTACGTACCCCCCCCCCATCTTATTTTAATGGTTCTAGTCTTTGGTTGTGTGGTTCTTCCGACAGTTTTTTAACTGTGGTACCATTTTCCTAGTATTGTCTCACCCAAGTGTTATCCCCTTTCTTTCAGGAAGTGTGAATAGGCATTATTCCTATTCTTGTCTCCAATTTCCTATGGGCTAATTCTAGAATATTAAAGGAGTTTGGATTAACCATGTTCAGTGAAGAGGGTTTAACAAAGATGTCCTCTAAGACTCATTTCTGGTCCCTTGTAATGAAAGAATGGAAGTGCTTATTCTTTTTCTTCCAATCCCATTCCCTTATTCTGTTCTGCTTTCTTTCCATTTGTATACTCTTCTTCCCAACTGACAATAATTCACCAAGTTCTCTTCTCAGCTTTGAGAATCTGGAGAACATGGTCATGTTTTTGTGCAAACAAAGGCCAAATGATGCACTATTTTCTCACTTTTCTGTTCTTCTTTTCTTGGAAACAGTCAAGAATGCCAGCCTCTCTGAAAATGAGATAATGAATTTTTGTAGGACTTCAAAGAATACAAGAAAAAGCATATATAGCCCTTTCAGATGATGCAAAAAGATGAGGCTGTAGAAATACTGTACAACATAAATCAAGGACCATGCATTTAGCCTTACTCCAAGATTGCACAGCTCTTATGGACTCCTCATGCAGTGGGGGTAAAATGCAAAGACATCTTTATCTACAGAGACTTTCCCTTTCATGAATGACTCAGATTTTCCAGACCTCAGATTTTAGGACCCTTTATTACCTGGTAAATCAGGATAGATATTCCTCTCACTTAAGGAGCCTGGAATTGTGCAGTCTTGAGCTGGACTGAATATGTGACCTTGGAGATGAACTGCATTTGTGAAGCTCTTTATTAACAGTTGAAGGGTCTTAGGAATGTGCTATCAAGGCACATATCAAGGTGCTTTGATTTTCCTTGATATACTGCTCAAAATAATTGTGAATGTCTATCTAGAAGCCTTCTGTAAATAGAGGGAATGCTCAAGATCAGTCATCTAATATCAGAAGTGCAAAACCTCTGAGATTTCAGGTAGCCTTCAGATGTGTTAGATATAACCCCCATAAGCCTCTAAAAGTTGCTACATTAAAAATATAATTTGAGAAATAGGCAAAATGATTAAATACATGCATGTGGAATAATTGCTTTAATTATATTTTATTTTAATTAAATGGATATAAAATCAAATTTAGGAGTTTTTTCCCCCCATTCCTACCTATTACTGTCTAAATTGCATTTCTTGCATGCTGCTTAGAGGGCAGATATGGCCCTTGGCCCAGAAAAAGATGGACCCTACTGCCTTCTGCTTGCTTTCAACATGAAAGCCTGGTGTTGCTTCCAACTAGTCTGGGAACCTAGGATGAGGTGAGAATGTCCTGTAGTCTCCTCTAAAAATAGGATGAAAAGAGGATCTTTTATTTTTACCATTTCCAATTGAGAGATAGGTAGAAGCAAAATAAGGTGTGTGTATTCATTTTATGATTGTAGTCTGGAGTTATAGTTGCTTTGTACCCCACAGAACTAAAGGATTTAGCATCTTAGCCACTCAGGAAAAATTCTAAAGCACCTAATGGTTTCTAGCAATTTTATTCTGCTTTTTTTCTTTTTCATCTGCAGGTAGACTGGTCTTCTAAATCCAGGGATTCTTATTATAGTACTCACTGACTCAAAGGCAACATGCTTTTTCTTTCAGCCACTCTTGGCTGTTTTCCACCTCTTGCTTACCTTGAGGAAGCACTCCCTTCTTATTTGTCTCTCCCCAGCTTGTTTTATTTATTTGTATTTATTTATAAATGTATAAACTGCTTCAGTTGAGACTGACATACAAAAGGAGCACTGCAGCAAAGAGGAACATTGTTCTGTGTTAAGACAATTTTTCTTGTTTTTCTCTTAAGATTTTCTCCTTTGTTGCTCTTGTGTCCCTTATTCTTTTTCCTCAATACTTTATCATAATGAGGAAAATAGACTGGCAGGATAGAATATTTTGGAAAATGAAACATTTCCACTTTTTCCTTCATTATTTATATTATATTATTCTGCTCCCAAAATAAGACACACAATGGAATACATTTCCCCTTGCATTTAAAAGCAAAAAATAAATAAAAATAAAAAATCTTTTGTTTGACTAAATGTTATCATGATGTTCAAAGTGGGCTAACCATTATTGGTATTAACTACAGTTAGTGAAGACAAGTCATTTTAAATTATATATAATTTATATATTTATTTGTTTTTATTAAAGTTAAATCAAGAATAATTTAAGATTCACACATAGAGCTGAACAATATTTGATCTGAAAAGGAAGCAGAAAATTGATAAAGCTATCATTGAAACAATGTTTTTATAAATTGAGGGAAAGTGTATTGGCAGAAAACTAACTTGACAGTAAAAACGTTTTAAAATCCTATAATAAAAAATAGATTTAGTCAAATGTGGATGCCGTTTATTAATGATGTTACTAAAATACTTAAAAATTGGTAATAAGTAATAATGTAATTCCCTCTTTTTATGACCCTGTAATCCCTTAATTCAGGGTAGACAAGGCGGGATAAGGTAATTGTTAGTTATAATTACTACCATTTGGAATTGATATAATAAATATTGATACTTAATGTTTATAATTTCTTCAATTATATAGAAATAATACTCCCAGCTTTACTTTTTTCTTCTTTTGGGGGGGAGGGGGCTTTTCCTTTCTCTGTGTAGTTCATTTTTCAATTTGGTTTTATTTTTATGTTGATATTACATTTGCTTAATAAAAAAGCAATATTTTTTAAAATAATATTCTTCTGTAGGAAAAAAATCCAATTCTAAAGATACTTTGTTTCAGAAAATAG